CTAGCAGTCAGCATACCTGGGACACTGAGGGAAATGAACGTGCCATTTCAGTGAGGAGGAGGATGCTTCTCTGACCTGGAGCCCAACCAACACCTTGGCTCACATTTCTTACTGTCCATTTGTCCTGGTTTTGGCTGGGATAGAGTTAATTTTCCTCCCAGTAGCTGGCATTATGCTGTTTTGGATTTACCATGAGAATAATGTGGTAACACATCAATGTTTTAGTTGTTGCTAAGTGGTGCTTGTACTAAGTCAAGGACTTAGCTTCCCCAGCTCTGCCAGTGAGGAGGCTGGGGGTGCCCAAGAAGCTGGGAGGGGACACAGCCAGGACAGCTGATCCAGACTGACCAAAGGGATATTCCATATCATAACACACCATGCTCAGTACATAAACTAGGGAGAGCTGGCCAGGACGCTGCTCAGGGATGGGCTGTCCATTGGCAGGTGGTGAGCAATTGTTGCATTGTTAGCACTTGGTTTTGTATATTCCTTTATCAGTAATATTATTATTTCCTCTTCCTTTGCCATCCTATTAAGTGTTTTTATCTCAACCCACGAGTTTTCTTCCCCAATTGTCTCCCCCATCCCACCAGGGGACGGGTCAGGGGGAAGCAAGTAAGCAGCTGCTGGTCCTCAGTTGCCAGCTGGGGCTAAACCACAAAACCATTTGTGTCATATGCTTTTTGAGGAAAAAAATGTTATAATCCAGGTCTGATTTTAAGCAAAGAAATAGAAAACCCCTCAACTCTGTTACACACAGTCCCAAGGGAACTGGGAAGACAAGATTTGATGGCATAATAAACACAGTTGGAGGCAGATCAAAGCAACACAGGCATTTTTCAACAAGAAAGATGACAACTTTTCTCAAATGAAATTGGGGCTCCCACTTACTCCTGTGATGCTTGGAACATCTGCATTCAATAGCCCAGTTTTTGACCCTCTCAGTAGGACAGATGGTAATGAGGTACCCAATTCCCAACGCCTTTGAAAGAGATTTAGGCACCTGCCTCATTTGTCTGACTCCTTTTCTCCATGCTGTTTCCAGCTACAACAAACCGCACACAAACCAGGAGATTCCATTTGCCACTTCCTCACTGCCAGGTTGCAGTTTGCCCTCAACACTTGTATTCCTCTTTTTAGCCACCTCATTCATGAAGTAAAAACACCCCACCTTACTGTTAATAAAACTTTTTAAAAATGCTTTGAGCTTGCACTGTAGGTACCCTATAAATACATGCATGTCTGAATTACCAACATTCAAATGTAACAGGAAAAATACTTGTGGGTGGATTAACTACATACGATCAATGCCAAATACAAATCTGCTCTGGAATTGCTGAGGTCATTTAGTGCTGTACAATTCTCATGAAGTAAATATTTTTGAAATTGGGGAATGCTCTGAGATTAAGCAATACATTACATTTTCTGACCAAACGCCAGAAGCCATAGGTGAATAGGAAACAGACATCAGTAATTACAGTTTGTACTTCAGCTATTTCAAAACCCCTTGCTTCAATGAGCAAGTATTAACTGGACAGACACTCCTTCACAAATTAGAGGTTGCAAAGGCTTATTACACACCATATTTATCTTTGAAACTTGTCCAACAGAATTAAACTAAAAAAAAAATAATGATACAGATTATGGTTGCAGGCAAAAAAACTATTAAAACTCCAACAACTATATATGTTTTTATCTGTCAAACTGTCCCTGCAGCCACTCTTTGGTTTAGGAGCTCAGGAATGTGGTATTAAGAAATACTAGTAATTGTATTAGCATGCTGTTGTCAAAACTTCAAACTGGCTGTATTTTATCACAGGAGTTGATAAACAATTTATTTCTTGATTGTGTAGGCCTTAGAACACAACAGAATTGCCAGAATATGAGTCTGGACCACCCCCAGATGGGGGTAGAAAAAAGTATAATACCTATTGCGAGTAAGAAGCATATGACAAGAAGCATTTGCACTGCTTAGTGAAATACTGCACAGAGCCATCAACTCGACATGAACCAAGTTTACTGTAAAACCAAAAGCAACCTAAGCACCTTTCCCTGTGCTATAGTACCCAAGTAGTAAATCTAGTTAAGAGGCCTTACCAAAGTCTGGCACTTAACTAGAGCCAGCTTTGCTCAGGCCAGGCAGCTCAAGACAGAGCCCTTGTTCAGAGCATGATGGATAACTGCGAGAGGACATTCCCCTTGTCAAAGTCAGTTTTTCAGTTTACTCCAGAGAACTGCACTTGGGAAGCTATGAGATTTTTCCTCAAACTACTTCAGATTTCTCAGAACTAGAATTGGAAGAAATAGGAAATGGTGGAGAAAAAAAATGGGGCAAAACTAGTGGATGCATTTAGGTTTTTCAAGGCTTCTGAGTGGTAGGAAGGAGCTTAGGCAAGGCTGCTTTTCAACTGATGCCCAACCCAAGATATCATCAAGTGAGCTCCTAATAAATACTTGGCTTCACAACAGATTCACATTGAAATTAATAATTTAATTACGTTCCGCTAGATATGTATTTTCAATCAGGCAAGGAGATAGTGCAAACTTTTCATTTGCTAAAATTATTATGACATCTCAAATTTAGTTCAGTATAAGAAATTATATATTTAAGCTGATTAAAAAGGTTTCAGTTAACTGAAACAGGTATTTGGATTGTTTTAACAGTGTTAAAATCAAGAAAAGTTAAATCTCAAAACAGAGTTTTACTTGTTTAGCCAAAATTCACAGCACAGAGAAAAATTACCAAAAAAAAGAAGGGTCAGGAATGCAAGGTATCTTAGAATCCGATAAGCAGTTGAGGAGCATGTTTACTGCAGGTACAGTTCATTTATTTATTATAGATTCAGATGATCTCCATAAAGCTGTATTAGGCTTTTGTACTTCAGGGTTTTTTTTTAAAATAGCATAATTCTGGCAATTAACTAATATTCTAAGTGAATAGGTAGACCAAAAAACTTGAAATGTGATCATTTAAATTCATCACACAAGTAGCCCGATGCAAATCTTCTGCATGCTTCCTAAATACTTACATTATGAATGGCGTAACATAAAAGCAATTGGCTATTTTAAGTGAAAAATACTACAGGTGGTTGGGTATGCACTGCTGTGACAAGTACAATGTGGCAAGTGCTCAGATTGGCTGGTTTTGAGCCTTTGGATTTTGTTTAAAGCATATTTTCATATCAAACACCACTGATCCTTACAATTAGATCTTTATTTGACTAATAAATACCCTTACTATTAAGAGCAACTATTACAAGAAAACATATAGCATCTGTTTAATACATGCTTTTAAATGTTTAATGAAATACTGTTGATGTTTTCAGCATAAAATTACCAGCATCATTCTGCTTTTCAGTATATAACAAGCAGCAAGGTCAACTGTGTCTAACACTCATCTGCCAGCTGCTAAAAATAAAACTAACAGAAATTATGGACAGCATGGAAGTTTTGGACAGGAACATTCGGAACTGAGAAAAATCTTGCTGAAAGTTCATGGTGTAATCTGTTTGTTTATACAAGTAAAGATGCAATTTACCTTTGTAATCACTTCACAAAGAGATATCATTTGCTTTCTTCCACACCAGTTTCTAAAGCTGATACACTTTGTAAACCATAGTGTGAGATTTATGATGTTATACTGCAGAAACCTGTTTAGACCCTGATTTACAATCCTGGCAATTGTATTCAACTCTGTCATCATAACTAATTACAGCTAACTGCAGATTACCATATCGCAAACTCTCGTCTTTGTGAAAGAAATATGATGTTCTGCTAAAAAAGAATCAAACAACCCAAGGGCTAATGAACAAAAATGCACTATTCCATGTTGGACTGCAAACCTAAACTCTTCGAATAGGTGCCATAAAACTTCAAATTGCTATTTGTTGGCAAGCTGTTTTAGCCTCAAGTACTTACACAGTAAGTCACCATTATGCTAATACGATACCTTTGGCCCGAAACATATTAATCTTGGTTAACAATAGCTGACATTTACATTACCAGTTCAATTCAGGCACTGTGGTGACTAAACATACATGCAAGAGCTTCAGGGAGAAAAGTTATTAGTTCTGAATGTGTCCTTACTCTTCACTGAGAACAATTTTAAAGAAACATTATCATGAATTCTTGTTATAATCTTATATCATAAACATTCAAATCCTAATTGATCTGTAAAACATTTGGCTTGGAGTAAAATCTGCATTTGGTTCTTGGGTGCAGCTAACTGCACAACATAACATATGCCAGGTATTGTTCAAGATACGTACTTCTGTATCTGCTCAAAGAAACTGGGACTTTTTCACATTGAGTTCTTGGGAAGGAAAGGAAAATGGGAATTTGAAATAATCTAAAGAACATGGCACCAGGCCATGACAAATGTCCTGACCAGGACGGGACCCTCCCAGGAGAGGAAAGTTGGACTTTCTCATCCTTTTTTTCCCTGTTTCTATTTACTAAGCCTATAAATGCGCAAATAATAATGGTTTTAAAACAGGTTCAGTAGTTCTCCTTTATTTAGTGTGGCCCCCAACTTTCAAGCAATAGTACTTAGTGCATTAAGACTATATAACCTTAGCAGGAAAACTTATCCCTTTCTTACACCCATGCACTGTAACTGCGGTGCAGCACAGAACACGCCTAGGCCGAGCATTTTACTCGAACTTCCGAGTGTTCACTAACAGATTCCACATGCATTCTACAGTGCATTGTGTTAGCTTTTCATATTTTGGAGAAAAATACTCTATTTCACGTAGTATTTTTCTCCAAAATATGAAAAGCTATTTCACATAGCGCTGATGTTTACAGATAGTATTTTTGCTACAGAAGAAAGCCAAAACATGATATTACAGCCTAACAGCATTAAGAGAAACACAAGGAATTTAATGTATTGGGTTTTGTTCTTGGGTTTTGGGTTCTTTTGTGTTTAGATTTCAAGAAGTCACCCACAAAGACACTTCATGTACAAACAGGTATTTGACTCCTGAGCAAAAGAGGTTGGATTACATGTATCCCATGTTGCTTTTTGTTTCCCATCTTTTCTTGGCTTCAAATCTGAAAGACAGCACAAAAACCACATTAGGAATCACAAGCATGTGTTTCAGGTATTCAACCATACTATTCTTAACAACAACAACCACCAAACTTATTTTTAATACTGTAATAAAGACACGAAGGCACATGCAGCCATATAACCGATACATCAATTCTGGTAAAGCCTCTCTACTTAAGACTGATACACTGCTAAAAAAGCCCACAAGAAAAAAACCAACACAACACCCAAACCCCAACAAGGTTAAACTAAACAAATAAGATTAGCACAAGCCTATTTCAACTAAGAAAACATCCGCCTGAGATTGTATTGTATACACTCAGTGCCAATGAAACCACAAATGTTTAATTCCATACTCAAATGACTTACCCCCAAGCAAGCTTCTTTTTCTTTCGAGCTTCTTGGGCAGCCTCCGCGTCTTGCTTGGCTTTTACAAAGTTGCGGCAAGCGGCAGCTTTGGCAATTTTCACACCAAGCTAAGGCATAAAAAGGAACAAAGGAAAACTGAATAGATGCAAATAGCTCACATGAAATTTAAGCCTCACAAATTACTTGGTCTGATAATGTTTCTCAGAAGTCAATAGACAGTAAAATATCTTTCAAATATTAGGCTGATGCTGTACTATTAGATCAGACAAGCAAGAATGCCTGACAACAGAAATACAGAAGAGTGGGATCCTGGAGCAAGCAATACTTTTAATCAAATCCTTCGTTTTCATGAATAAAAGCAAGAGGCAACAGCCCACTAGATCCTTTTGTTTGTTTTCTAAATAAATGTACAGACACACACACGTAGACTCCATTACTAAGACCAGTCTGTGATCTCAGCTGTGCTAACACAATAGTATTGGTAAGACGTGATACTAAAAACACCCAAAAAGACAGTTTTGTACAGGAAGAACTGCTACTACCACACATTTTCCAGTAGTACCGGTAGTCACGTTTTAATCAGTCTGTCCAGAAAGTAAATGAAGCAGTGTCCTTAGAGTCCATCTGGCATTTAGTCTTCCCATTACCAGCTTTTAGATTATTAGGGTGATAATATCCATGCTTTTCCAATAAGGTTGTAATAGGCTGTAGGTGAGTACTACTTTACTTTCATAAACTTATTCACACAGTGAGAATTAAGTTCACTTTACTGAATGTCAAGGGGGGATAAAAGAATAAAGCCAAAAAGATGGGAGAACGTGCCATGAACTAGGAACAGATTATTTTCCATAATCAACACTGTAGTTACGTTCTGTGACTGCTGTCATGAGTGGACATTACCTGCAACTACATTATGGATTATGGAAGAATTTGATCTCAAAAGTTTTATCCAGATGAAAGGAGACTCAGGAATGCATCTCCTACAACTCTCCCATCAAACACCTACCCTGTACGAAGGTTAATACCCTGATCATTTTCTTAACGAAGCAAAGTGAAACTGCATCGCTACAAGCTATTTCACCTTAGGGTCCTTTCAGGACCACATCATCACACCACAGTTTGTGCTTTGTTTGAGGCTCTAACAGCGGCAACACACACAGTTGAGAGGAAGCAAACATGGTATTTTAAAAGGGAAATGGGAAAAATAATACTTAACACGTGCAAACAGTAGATGATAAAACTTGTTACAAGGTCAGAAATATGTACCTATGGAATCTTCTTGATGTACAGTATGATTGCATGTGACCAGATATTTCAAAACTTTAATATTATTAGCTACATCATTTCCCCCTGAGCATTAACATTTCATATCATCAGTAATTCAGTGCCAACACCTGAACTGCCAAATCTCAAGTCAAAGCCCAGAGCATAACATCCTCCTATTTGCATTGTCACTTCATATTTAGGAGCAGCCGTTAACGTTACTGTACTGGCTGTATGAAAATGCTTACGAAAACTCACCTAAAATAATTAACCATAGAATCACAGAATGGTGTGGGTTGCAAGGGGCCTTAAAGATCACCTAGTTCCAACCTCCCTGCCATTAAAAAAACGTTTACTTGTTTCATCTAATTATTAGCTTAAAACAGAGCAATCTGATTGCTGAAGTCAATCAGCAGAACCATGCCTTCATTTCTGAATTGTGTACTACTTCCTAACATACCTGAAAATTAACTCTTACTACGTAAAGAACAACAGCATCGCCTTCAAATGTATTCTAGTGGCCTATTGCACACTTACACACACAACTATACACAAGTGAGGTCTAGACAAGTGCTGCAGAGAAATCTTTTGATCTGTATTTCTCGAAGACAGAACGAGTTCTTCCATCTTCGAAAAAATACAGAAAAAATGGGATAATGAGATCCTCTGTATGGTATGTGGAATTAAAAGTAGAAGCATTTTGCAGCATTAACATTATAATTTCTAGGCTACACAGAGTCAATTTTTCGAGACATTAAAACAAGTATGTCGCATATAAACACCAAAACATTTTAGTCAGACTTAACGTCTTCTGCTGCCCACCCACACCCAGACATACATTTTCACCCCCCCAAAAGAAATCCATAAAAGCTTTGTCAATGGGGTTTACATTTAAAAAAAAAAAATCAGGTCATCAGATAACTCAATAAAATACAATCTTAAAAGAAGTAAGAAAGCATGAATAAAAATATATACAACAATTTCTTATGTAGTCAAAGTATCAGCATTTTCCATATAGAACATCCAATATTTTGCTGCATTTTAATTAAGGTGTCTAAACATTATCACAAAGAACTGCAAATTGGTCAGAGCACGCAGTAAGGAAAATTAAGCTCTAAAGGCTTTTTATCACCATATTTCAGGAACCAAGGGTGTAAAATGTTCTAATTTGGGATATATTAAAAGCCATAAAAGGTCTTTCAAAAAGATTAATGGTACTTTGCTTGGATTTAAGATAAGGGCTTTAGCTGGTTGGAAAAGCAGGGCCCTGGCTAGACCCTTGAGGCATTCATCTTTACAGCCACTTGGAAGATTTGTAAAAGCGTCTGCATAACCTCAAGCAAACGCACTGCGACATTTTTTTTTTAAATTCCTTTCAATTTTACAGGTTTAAAGTGTGTAAATCATATTGGGTAGTAAAGCTGATATAATGATTCATCCTTGTAACAATATATATACATATATTTAAGACAGACTTAAAAAACAACTTAGTTTCTAGAGGGCAAAGACCTTTCCATTTTGAAGTTGACCAATAATCACGTCAAATATCTTACTCTGGACATTTAGTGTAGCATAAATGAAAATTCCTTATCCGTTATTTTTTCATAAATTTTCTATTCATCTGAAATTGTTACCTTGTAACCAATTTCTGAAGCTTTGCTTCTTTCTGAACAGTTTCAAGGCATTTACTTAAAAATACCAATTATCATACTTAAACTTTTTATGGAATAACAGGTCTGTATGAAAAATATTTATGCCATTCTCTTTTGTTCTTTAATTAAATGAAAACAGATGTTTTCTGAAGTAAAGCGGAACCATTACTGGAGTACTTAAAGTGTTAAGGTCTTTAATTTTTATATCAGTTTGGTCTACAATTCCTGATTGTCTTTACTCAAGCTCAACATTAATGTCAAGCAAGTTACCTAGGAGACGAAAGAGATCAAAGAGACAAAAAACCCTCAAATGTCTGATTAATCAAGCCTGCAAACAGCTTATTTCTTTTAGCCTGCATGCAAGTATGAAAATGAGATTCTGGGAGCCGTACATTGTGCAGATTTGTTCATTCTTATCAGAACAAAGCCAGCGGCAGCTTATTTCATGGATCATTGGCACTGTCATCAGTGCTACACAGAACGGGTGACAGCTCCTCATTTTGAGGCTTGAACAAAATTAGCAAAAAGTCGGCACAAATTAGCCTCTCATCTTTTTAGTAATATGACATTATTCATTTACTTTTTATCCAATTTTTAATTTTTTCCTTGTCAGCTATCCCTTTCTAGTGTTTCTTGCACAGCATCATAAAACACTTTTAAAACAAGCAAAGAAATGGCTGAAGTTGAAATAGTATGTAAAGTTCAGGCAGAAGAGTAAACATTTTTATGAAGCGGCAACAGCATCTACTGTAACTTCCAGAAAACTTCCTTGAAAATCAGGACATGTAACTGTAAACATCATAAACCAAAAGACTTCTCATTAAGATAGCACTGTCCAATGCAAATGCTGAACAATACAAGGAGTGACATTCGGGAACTGCTCCAGAAATATTTAGGTATGATATACCCAACACGAAACCTCAGAAGCTCTAACAAAACATCTATATTCAAACAGGTCTTGAAATATCCTATGATCACACCAGAGAAGCCAAACAGCCTTTTAATACAGTGTTACAGTTTCTCATCAAATATGAATCTAGTTATTTCAGGCTTGCCTTCAGCAATGATTTTCTCCTTTTATGTTATGGAATGTCATCCATTGCTGACGTATATAAAATATATAAAGCAAACAAGAATACCGAGTGGATTTTGCAGTGAAAATTGTCCCCTTTCAATGATGTGCTCAACTTCCACTGTAAAATACTTTGTAATACCTTTGTTGTATTTTTATACCATGTATTACAACATCAAATTATATTTGGATGACACAGTAATGGAGCAAGGACAGAAAACTGTTCCAATATTAAGCTCTTTGCTAGATTTAAACATTTAAATGCAAGTAACTTCTTTCATTCATGAGAAAACACAGCATTAAAAAATTAACTATAAGCTGTTAGATGCTTTACACAGCCCCCTTATAAGAAAGGCAGTTTTAAAAAAAGAACTGTAGTACTGTTTTCAGCAATTTCTTTATCTCTGTTCTTCTAAGTAAGAAAGCTTATTAACAAGCTTTGAACTTAAAATCACATTTACAATAATGTGCCATCAACAGTTTTATAAGCTAATTAGAAAAAAAGATTAATTAATGACTGGCTGCTAATAAAATGGCAATCATGAAGAAAGAAACCAAGGGTGCTAAGCTTCAACTACCACCAATTAAGAGCTAATTACAAACAAATTATATATGTGTTTTGCTGTGGGCTTTAATTTACTAAAATGGTTTTAATTAAAAGAGAAAACATGCTGATTAATTGAACTGCAGAAAAAATCTACAGTATAAACTGTGCTTTGTCTGTCTCTTTAATTAGACTTGTAACATCTGAAATCTTTTTTTAAGGTTTTTAAAGAAAAGATATACATAATTAAGGGAGCATAAGAATGTAATTCTAGGTGATAACCCTGCCATGTTCCAAAGGTTAAAAGAAAACCACCTCAATGAAGAGAGGTATTTGGAAGCACCTCTGCTAAGTGTTAGAAAGGAAATCCCTCAGATATACACTTTTTTTTTTCCTCCTTTTCCCAGGTCCTCCAGTGGGCAAGACTTCCAAGCTCACTGGTGCTTTGTCACATGCCACATAAAATCTCAACAATCTCTTCAGGTACCTCAAAGCACTTTGATAAGCTGTGAATGTTGCAAGGAATTTAGAAATGAAGCTATTTTCCCAACAGAAGAGCATCGAGCACTATAACCC